TTTCACAATAAACACCATAGAAAGCTCTTGACAGATATAGTCTCCACAATCATTTGAACAACAGCCACTCCCATCTCCTCTGCTCTCCCCTGTATTGCTACTTGTTGCTGCTGCTGCTGCTGGAATGTTGATAATTACTCATCCTGGGATCCCTTACAGAGGGTTGTGTGCCACAGTTTACCAGGTGTTGCTAATAATATGCCTTATTATAAGGTTTGGGAATGAGAAGTAATGTTTTAGTTCTACCAAAAATGGTTGCGGTGTGAAGGGTGAATTAGGCAGGTGGGACTGGCGAATGTGGGAATTTTGGGCAGGTGCGCATGGTGAATGTGGGATGTTTAGGCAGGTGTGCATGGTGATTGTGGAATTTTTGGGCATGTGTGAATCATGAATGTGAAATGTTTGGGCAGGCGTGAAGAGTGAATGTGGGAATGTTTGGGCAGGTGTAAATGATGAATGCGGAATGTTTTGGCAGGTGTGAATGGTGAATGTGCAAGTGTTCAGGCAGGTGTGAATGATGAGTGTGCGAGTGTTTTTTATGGCTACGGGATTCCACTACTAATCACCTGCCTCAGAATTTCAGGAGGCAGAGACATTTGGCAGAGGTTTCCTCCAGTTGTCTGACCACCAGGTATATTTCAGTGGACTCCAAATCCAGTATGATTTCCATTAAGTCTGTAGGTTTTATGAGACCTGATGATTCTTCACTACTGTTTTCTGTACACATATACTTTAATAACACATGAATTCATGATAAGAAATGTAACAAATCTGACTTTCTCAGTTACACTCCACTCAAAAACACATGAGTTTTGTCTGTTTGATTAGTACTTCCATTCCTGGTAAGGTTCAGCAAGAGATGAGCTTTCTGGACTTCAGTGACTACATCCTACCTTGCGGGGTACTTGCAAGAATGAAATAAATGATAGTGATAAGAGTAGTAAAAATAGTAGTAAAAGAAGGCTAGATTCAGTGACTCACGCTTGTAATCCCAGCACTTTGGGAGGGAGGCTGAGGCGGGAGGATGGCATGAGCGCAGGAGTTCCAGATCAGCCTGGGGAACATGGCGCAACCCTCCACTCTTGTCTACGATAAGGTTAACAAAATTTAGTCCACTGTGGTGTCACACACCTGTACTGCCAGCTACTAGGAAGATGACATGGCAGGATCCCTTGAGCAAAGAGTTCCAGACAGTAGTGAGCCATGGCAAAGTCAGTGCACTCCAGCCAGGGTCACCCAGTGAGACCTGGTGTCAAAAACAAACAGTTTTAATATAAAACCAACAGTCACACTGTTATGGACTGAGTTGTGTCTGCACAAAATTCATATGGTGAAGTCTTAACCCCTAGAACCTCAGACTGTAACTGTATGAGAGATAGATGGGGTCTTTAAACAGGTAATTAAGTGAAATGTGGTCATTAGAGTGGGGTCTAAGGCAATGTGCCTGGTGCCCTTATAAGAAGAGGAAATGAGGACACAGACATGTTCAGAGGGAGGGCAAAGGAAGACACAGGGAGAAAAGAGCTGCCTACAAGGCAAGGAGGGAGGCCTTAGAAGAAACCAACTCTGCTGACACCTTGATCTCAGACGTGTAGCCTCCAGAATTGTGAGAAAATACATTTTTGTTGTTTAAGTCACCCAGTCGATGGTAGTTTTTGATGGCAGCCTTAACAAACCAATGGAAATACTTTTAGTGCCCCTCAGGAGGTGAGCATTATCCTATCTATTTTATGACTTAGAACTCCTGCTCCTCCTACTAATATAATGAGCATGTAATGATGCCTGTATCTGAGCAACTGAGCAGTGATGAGAAAACTTCAAACTTTGGGAATTATTTTACCTTAAGTCCATGACCACGACAGAATTGCTTCTCCCTTTCACACTCATCCTACTTCCACTACTACAATACTCTCACGAATTCCCAGGAACCCTCCTCCATTTGAATGACCTACCCTAATGATTCATTCAGAAGACAGACACTATCTGCTGGGAATTCTCAGAGCATTCAAAATCCAGTCTACCCCTGTCGGGCCTGGCATTCTCTGCCTCCCTTGTGCATACAATGCTCCTAATGGAAGCAAGCCCCTCACCTCAGCCCAGGATCCCATAACTCCCACTTTCCCAAGCGCTTTGCTGCTGCAATGATCATTCCTCTCTCCTGAACCATCAGTGGTTCCCTCTGTATTGGATCACTCCCAAAGCTAAGGGGGAAACTCACTTTCTTCCCCCATGTCCTTCTATAGCTACAAATACATATATCTGCTGCCCTTCAAAGCAAAACTGTCTCAACGTATACAACCCACTTCATTGGAGTCATTTTCCAAAACTACCTGGAAAGGAAAATGAACCAGAACAGCTGAAACAATGCTGAATTATAACTTTGGGGAACTCACACTACGTAATATTAAGAGTGATGTTAATTCTATAGTAATCAAGAGAATGTGGTAATTTGGAAAAATCAACACATCAGAATGGAGTTCACCGATAGACTCACAGACATGATATATTGTTTCAGCATAGGTGGTATGTAATGGAGAAAGAGTGTGTTTTCGTGAAACAGTGTTATTTTCCTCCTGCCCCTTGGCCACTACATTGATTGATTTTTATTCCCCTGGGTCCCTTCCCTGTGTTTATCCCTTTGCACTTCAGCTGCTCTTCTGTTTAGTGGCCTCTCTGCCCCACCATAGTGTGACAGCCCCCACAGCAAGTACCAGGTGTTGTTGGTTGTTCTTCCAATTTCCAGCATCCCAAGTATTTCTTGTAACATGGCAGGCCACTCGTGCATGTCTACTGAATTGATGAATTAACTTTTTGTAATGATCCTAACAGAAAAACATCTCCCTTGTTTGGGAGTCTTTATTGGAGATATGTTTCTAGACACCTTACATATGGTCTTTGGTTTCGTACTGGACACTCTACGGTAAAGGCTCTGCATGGTGCTCTGGAGCTCCTGCAGGTACCACATAGGGGAAGTAGGCAAAGCTAGACTACAGGCTAACCTGAGTCTGGGCAGAATATCCTGAATGTCCTTGGAACAAGGAAAGATAGGCAGCATGGTGGGAACTGCCATAGGTATTTTCGCACCAGCTCCCTATCTGCCTTGAGGCTGACACCAGGCCATTCTTCATCCATCTCCCTAGTTGGAGGTGAGCACAGGCCTTTCTTCATCATAGGGTACAGTTGTGGAGTGTAAAATTGCTCACTGCCTTAGGGCATGGGGCGGACTCCCCACCGGCCAAAGACCAACCATCTGTGCCATCCATCACTGAGTACCTCCCATTCACTGTCACACTATGGGAATAGGGATATGGTGCTTATACAATGCTGATCTTGCTTTTGCTTTGTCTACGAGCAATCAACCACTTGGATCTGTTTGGGCTCATTGTCTCCATATTGGCCAAATTTAAGAATATGTGAAAAGGCAAACTAATGATTTTAGTGGTGATCCTCATGTCCCTGTTAGATACCACAGTGCTGCTTAGGGACTGCTTGAGCAATTGACACACTAATGTATTGAGTTGCGTGGTGTAGCATAGACAGAATATTGATTTATTCTTCATGGCATCACACACAGCAAATAAGTTTTCAGCACATACTATTAACTTACGTTTGGCCTTGTCACACCTCAGTTATTTACAAATTAACTTCAGAATCTATGCCGTGGGTGACACCAGCTACACTGCTATGAAACTAACATATTTAAATCAGATATTTATTTTCTGAATTCAAATGTATTTTAAAAGTTGACATTCTTACTTAAAATTCAAAAGCAGGTTATCACACACTAGAAATGCAGCTGTAAGGAAAAATGAAATGACAAAGTTTGAAATCTAAAGGAAAAAAGGAAATCTAAGTAGGAAGCCAAATTTATCTGCATGTAAAGCCTGCTTGATGTTATTTCCTTTATTCTTCATAGCAAGTATTTTTAGTTTACATATTGTAATTTCTACTTTAGAAATGGAAAAACAGTCCCAAAGGGTGTAAGTATCTTGCCCACCATATCAAGGGCACTGTGTGAGAGGCAGGATGGAAATCCATGGCTACTTCATGCCATAGCCTCTAAAGAGACAGTGTAGGTAAGACCCAAGCCATCTTGCTTCAGCAGGTTGCCCTGGTTGCTTGACCCTTTCTTCTACCTAGGCCCTAATTCTCTCATCTAGCTCTATAGCCCAGGGACTTCTCACATGTTCTGTGGCAAGCGGGATACCCTAGGAAAGGAAGGAGATGAGGAGACACAACACGGGGTATGGCCGAAGGGGCAGGGGGCTTCTGTGCCCACTAGGGGCATGCCCTCCATATGTTAAGCTAGCCAGAAGCTCTCTGAATCCTGTCCTTTTGATTTTGATGAAGATTTTCATTATGTAAGTGTGACTGATGAAACTGTTGTCCCGCCTTTGGGGATCAACTTAACCTTCTGTCCCTCTCCCTTCCTGAAGGTTGAGCAGAGGGCTGAAAGTCCCAACACTCTTATTCCCCAGCCTAGAGCTACCTAGGTGCTGCCAGCAATGCACTAGCATACAAAAAGAAACCACTTTGTGGAGATTCTAAAAATTGTAGGAGTTGTGTGCCAGGAAGCAGGGTCTAGGACCAAATATGTATTTCATAATATCATCCCTGGGCACACCAGCTCAATCAGAATACAAAATTTCAAAAATGATACTTAACTTTTTTAAAATAGAGTCTCTATCTCAAAAAAATAATAATAATAATAACCTCTTCCTGGACCTCCTGGGCTCAAGGCATCCTCCACCCTTTGGCTCTAGAGTAGCTGGGAAGAGAGCTACATAGAGACATGCATACATTATGCATTCACTCTTTTATTTTTGTAGAGAGTCTTGTTCTGTTGCCCCATGTGGTCTCAAACTGCTGAGCTCAAGCAATCCTCCTGCCTCAGCATCCCAAAGTGCTGGGATTACACGCGTGGGAAACCGCACCCAGCCACGATTTTCAATATTATCAAATACCTGGGAAGGAAGTGAACAAAAGATGAGCAGGCCTTCTTTGGTGAAAGCTGCAAAACTTTATTGAGATAGTTTAAGTCAAATATCTAATATAAGACCGGTTTGCGTTGTTTCAGCTTTTCTTCATTTAAACTTGTGGTTGCCCTTCACCTGTAACAGAAACATAACAGGTGGGAACATTACTAGCAGAACTGTGTTTAGATGACATTAAGGATATGGAAAAGACACCAGAGTTTTAGTTTTCTACAATGGACAAAACCAGAAGCCTAAGAGTCACCCTTTTGCTTACATTCAGGTAGACCTCTGTAGAGACTTTGACAATAGTCGTCCAAGCGGATGCATTAAAGATATTTTTCAAACACACCCTGCTTCCTAGTGCTACAAGGAAAGCAAGACAGTCCGAGGTTCAAACACATTAAATGAAGTGAACCCACTAAAGAGAGGTTTAAAGTAGAAAGCAAACATTGTGCATAGTTTTGCTCAAAATACCAGCGTCACACAAAAATACTAAGAAACAAAAAAGGAACTCATGAAAAATGTATAATTTTTGGCAAACACTCTTTTAATGTTCTGGCTTGAATCTGCGGTCTGGATGCCAAATGGGCTCCTGGAAACGGTCTGAATACTATCTTGAAAGAAAACGGTTAATGTCACCTTAGGAACTGCATAAGTGAAGTGAATAGAGAGAACAGCATTGCATTTGTTTTTACTCTATTGTGGAGAAGGGCAAACACATTTATTTGGGCTCGTTCACCCTTCTGTGGTTTGTAAGGTACAGTAACCGTTTGTCCCCAGTGTTCTCCTACCGTGATGTCAATGTGAATCATGCCTCTTTTAACACTTGAAAGCATTCCCATTTGTACAATTAAGTATATGGCCGCATTACTCTTATGCTATCACTATCAGTTTTGTCATCAATATGTGATAGCGTTATGAACCCTGTCACACATGAAAAAATGGAAGGATACGGAAATGGAAAGAGTAGGACAGCTGAAAAACCCAAAATTTATTTCTAAAAGTAAATGTTTTTGAGGGACAACTGGAAAATTTCACAGTTTCTTCCACAGGTTTTGTGATGCTTAGATAATCGGGTATTAGAGAAATAAATAATGTATGCTTTCCTAGCTTATCAACCATTTTATCCACGCTCTGATCAAGATTGTATTCGCTTTCAATAAAGCCCTATATTAAATCACTCTGTCTTGTTCATATTCCATGTCGTGCTTTTTCCATTTTCTTCATGATTCTGTAAACGACTGAACACTCTATTTATAGCTAATTTTCAAAACAACAATCTTTTAAATTTATGACATTTGAACTACTTTTCCTTTTACTAATGATTCGTATCTGTCTTTTATTCATTACCTCTTTCTTTTTCCTTTAAGTTTATTCTGTGGCTCTTTTATTGTTATTTCATAGTATTCTTTTCCTTTATCATGTAAAATGCTGTTTATTTTAATAAGACGCGCATTGAAAGCTATGATCTCCCTAAGAATACAACTGAGGCTTGTTCAGTGGGTCCTGGAAGTCATGTGAGAACTATCTTTTAATGTAAATAGTGTAATGGAATGGTTCAGCAGAGTAGAGTAAAAATATGTAGGTAATTTCTCCCTTCAACATGGGGTGCTTCCTTTAACTTCAAGAGGTATTGTAATTAACAGTCACCAATTTGGAAAACATGTGCAAAACAGACTTATGTCAACTACTCAGGAATTAGCACCCTGCTGTTGTTGAACTTCAAACCCTATCACATAATGTCTCAAGGCAGAAACCTGTAATATGTAACCTATGCTATGGTTAGAGGTGACTCTACTATATGAGTCTTCAATCTAATTACACGAAGTAGCTCATGAAGACTGACAGGAGGGCAGGGGGCATGCTTAGCAGAAGCATCTTACACCCACCTTGAGCATCACTGACCTACATGCATTCTCCCTACTTCACTGGCCACAGAAACCTGATGATCTCTTGCCATTTTATCATTCAGTCATTCAAGGCTTCACTGAGGGAAGACTTTAAAACACAGTTATTCTTTAAGAGCCAGAGAATTCAGAATTTGACAAAATCCAAGAACACTCATACAGGACTCCATACAGGAAAACAAACATCAAGCAGAGTGCCCACTCATTTTCTTAGGAACCATGAATCTCAACTCAGACACTATAATTGGACGGTAGCTGACTGTTGTGAAAACAAATCATGAAAATCAGAATATCTTGGTCTTCTATCCAACAGGACCAGAGCATGTGGAAATCAGCAATGAAATGGATTTTAATCTATCTGATGTGCATCCATTCTTTTCAATGAGAGCAAGGATGCGTGTGGAATTTATACGATTCATCCAGAGTCTCACAAATTATGGTAGAGCTGGTACTAGAATCTGTTTCAGGGCTCAGCATACTTCACACAAACTCTTATTGCATATGCATTATGTATTTGTTAAAAGCAGAAATGCGAAAAGAATCTGAAAATTGTTAGCTGTTGGTTATACACCAAACTAAGAAAATGCTGCCGTGTTTGATGATTCAATATGGCTTTGACCCAGTTTGTTTCTGTATCTGATCATGTTTAAGTCTTGCAATCTGGCATTTGTGTCTGAACGGCGTTTCAAAGAAAGTTTGCATTTGCACTGTGTTTTTAAAGTAGCAGTAATGTTATCCCTCTATTATCAAAAGTATAATGTTGTGTAAATGAGAACGCACGTAACTTTGCATCTTGTTGGATAACATACCTGTTTCTGGCATTTTACGGTGTTCTTCCTTGGGTATAATCTTCACCTTGACGCCAGCACCCAAATCCAGATTTAACCCCGGTCTTTGACTGATGCAGCTCTTGCAGATCACCTTCCATGTCACGCACTTCGAAATACAAAGGATATCGATTTAAGCATTCTGACATGAAATATAAATAAGGAAATGATGATATTCTTTTCTTTAGCCTTATGAAATAAAGCCTGAGCCGGGTGTAGTGGCTCATGCCTGTAATCTCAGCACTTTGGGAGGCCGATGCCACTTGAACCCAAGAGCTGGAGGTAGCAGTGAGTCAAGACCATGCCACAGCAATCCAGACTGGGTGACAGATGATGCTCTGTCACATTAAAAAGAAAAAGAAAGAAAGAAAGAAAAAGAAAAAGAAAAAAATCTCTGTCAGTTAGCGTGGTAATGAATGTCGTGCAAAGATGATACACCTTTGTTTCCCTGTTTTATGATATTTTATTGTTTTCTGAGTCAGGGTCTCACTCTTTCGTCCAGGCTGGAGTGCTGTGGCACAATCAAGGCCCAGTGTGAGCCCAACCTCTCAGGCTCAACAGAACCTCCTGTCTCAGCCTCCGCAGTGGCTGAGCATATGGGTGCACCCCACCGCCAAGGCTAATTTCTGTTTGTTTGTTTTGTTTGAGACAGGACTTCTCAGTGTTGTCCAGGCTGGTCTTCAACTCCTGGGATCAAGAGATTTGCCCAACTCAGCCTCCCAAAATTTTGGGATTACAGTCGTGAGCTCCTGGCCCAATGTCTTGTTTTGAATTACAATCTAAGAATAACTCATACTATATGTAAATTTCCCACACTTTATCATTGTGTATTATGAACAGCAAGTATCAACTTTCTATGGAATCTGAAGTCAGCCGCATGAATGCCACTTTAATCATAAGTGAAATGTAATTTTCCGAAGAATTGGATCAATGTTTTGGCGGGCCTCCGACAAATTCTACAGTTGTGACACCCATCCCTTGTTGAGGTAACTTGGAAATTGTTTGGGTAGTTAATCAACGTTGTGGTATGCTTAGGACCAAGAACCTTATATGTAACTTTACATAAATGAATCCCATTTAGAATAATGTACCAAAAGTAACAGAGAAATCATTGTCTTGCAGTGCGACTACAGAAAGTAGGCCCAAATTCAGTCAATGTTTCGCTTGAAAATGCTACCTGTTGGAGATACATTTTCTGTTTCAGGATAATCTTATCCTACTTTGACTTTTCTAACTATGAAAGTATTTGAACAACTGTTAAAACCCCCTTAAAATCACACTAATATAGCTCCCTGTATACTAGGGTCCAGAATTATCCAACTTTTATCCAACATACTGTCAAAGAGACCGATCAAAGGAAACAGTGGCTGTCATTCATTGAGTAACTGTCATTCTGGAGCTACTATCCTGCTTCACTGAACTGTTTTGTCCTGAGCCAATACTGAAGTACCTTACAGCACAGACACAATCGAGTGTTATGCATCTTAGGCAAACTGCTCACTTTTTATTATTACAACATGGATTGTAGGAAGAACACAAACCTTTGAACGTAATATGAATTCCTTCTCCATGAGTCAAGTGTTCTTTGCAAGCCTCAATCTCTGAGCCTCGGTTTTCTTATTTATACAATGGGGCTAACATGCTTTTACAAAGGGACCTTATTCACGGTGTTTTAAGTTCGGGTAACTTGGCACTCTACACTCAAGTAATGGGTGCTTACAACACTGTGGACACCATGGCTGAGAAGATCATACAGCAACATTCTAAGAAGATCAAATTAAACTAGTGAAATAATGTACATTTTTATACAACAAATTAACTGTTTTCAAGTGATTTAGTAAGGACTGTATTTTCAAGCATACAAAATCCATCTCAAAGAACAAAATAAGATTCCTTATATCCAGGGACAGCATGAAGATGCAAACTATACTCTCCCCTTTCCTGCCAAGTTTGAGCAAATGTTTGGTATCTTTTCCTAATGTTCTCTTTCCTCCTGTTACTGCTCATGGCATAGGGCACGACACATAGACCTTTTCCCTCCCCACAGACATGCTTTCTTTCCCTTCCCAGCACCTTGGATCTCAGCTCTATCCTGATCTTCTTCTGTCTCCTGAACAGGTGTAGGATCCCGACTTTCAGCTGCTGGTTCCTCTTCTTGGGGCTCTCCATTACTGCGCTCCTGGGACTGGCTCTGTGGGTGTGTGTGTTCGTGTGTGTATGTGCAGATAAAGAGTTTTGCTATTAAAACATGTCAATAACATAAATATACAGAATTCATAGATACTTCTTATCATAAGTACGTCTAGAGGCATTTCTCCAACACTACCCCGTATACCTATTCTTCATAACATTATTCTTTCCTCAGAGAGGTTACTCAAAGATAGATATCCTCAAGGACTTTGGAAGCCATTTTAGTCTATGTTGGGATGAATGAGTGTAATCTGTTCTGAATAAGCATGAGGAGGAAGTTGTGGACAAAATCTGGGCACACACGATCATCCATCCACACAAAACCCAAATATCATCCTCTGGACTAATCTTTCCTTCATGGGATGCCATGATCATTTTTTGTCAACATGGGAGACAATTATGAATGGGAGGCCATAAACAACGGACTCCCATTCTGATAGTCCAACAACACTATCAGAAAAATAACTTTCTGCTAAGAGAAAACATCGAATGTTAAGACATTCATAAGCAGAGGCACAATGAACTCAGGAGGTTATGAACTTCTTCTTGGTATAGGCCTATATGTTTATCTTCCTCATCAACACGTATTTCACTCTCCAAGCAGAATACTGTGATTGGCAAAATGCACTTCACAGGACAACTAGATTCCACCACTTTCATGGTCAAATGTTAACTTGGTCATTTTTTTTTTTTTTTTAAATTTAGAAATACTCTGAAAATCCCAGGGCAAGTATGAGTGTGTGCAACTTTTGAAACGAATGCTTGCAAAGTGGCTTAAGTAGGTCTAGCTGGCGGAGCAATGTCTTAAGGCTCCCGGCAGAAAACACAGGGTCTTTCCCATGGGGTTGGTTTCGCAAATGGACACTCCATCAGGGAGACAAGTAGGAAATTACAGCTAGAGAATTAAAATTGAAGTGATGGCGAATTTTGTCACATAATGATTTGCTAGGCCCCTCGTCCCCACCCCGACCCAAATCACTTTTTTAGGAACTCAGAGCCCCACCCATTGGAATCTCCACAGTGGAGTTGAGAATTTGCTACAAAGTAGTGGTCACTCCTCAAAGGACACCTGTGCCAGGCAGTCTACAGACCTCGGGGCTGCAGTCACTAGCCCGCAGCGTTCCCGGTCTCCAGGACCCTTCCATACCGCTCATGCCATCCCTCCCCTGGTCCCGTCTGGGGAGTCTGGAATCTTCTGTCGGGGTTACAGGTTCATCTGGGACTCGGATACCTCCACCAGCAGCACCCCAGCATCGCCCCAGCTTCACCTGAGCCCCTCCACTCCTCAGCCTGCCTTCCTCCCTAGTTATGGCCATGACAAGACAATGGGTGCAGCGTCGCATGAAAGGGACGACAACTTCGAGGCCCTTCTCACCCTGAGTCACCAAACATGCGACCCTCCGGAAGCCCGCTGGTTCCTCCTCACTCTCACTCACACTTCACTCCCAGTTGGATCGGCCTGTGAACCTACCCGCTGTGTCTCAGTAGGAGAGAAAGAATCCAGACCTCACGGACCCCAGCTGCTGGCTCACAGCTCCGCGGAGTTCCCCAGACTGGCTAACGGGCCGATGGGAAGACGCCCAGTGAACATGCGCATGGAGGCGGGCACTAAAGGAGCATGCGCAGTGAGGTCCCCTCTTGCCTTAAGGGTTGTGGTGCCCCTCCTTATCCCGCCTGGTCCTGTCCTGTGCTCCCCTTTAGGTCCCCATTAATGACTTTGGAATCACTCCTCTCTGTGTGTGAGTTGCCCCCCACCCAGGATTCAAATACCTCAAATAATGTCAGCTTTCTAAACTCACCCCATGGCCGGGCACAGTGGCTCACCCCTGTAATCCCAGCACTTTGGGGGGCCAAGGCGGGTGGATCATGAGGCCAAGAGATCGAGACCATCCTGGTCAACATGGTGAAACCCCGTCTCTACTGAAAATACAAAAATTAGCTGGGTGTGGTTACGTGGGCCTGTACTCCCCGCTACTCAGAAGGCTGAGGCAGGAGAATCGCTTGAACCCGGGAGGCGGAGGTTGCAGTGAACCAAGATTGCGCCACTGCCCTCCAGCCTGGTGACAGAGCAAGACTCCGTGAAAACAAACAAACAAACAGACAGACAAAACAAACAAACAAAAAACTCCATGTTCACCTGACCCTCCTCTGCTATGCTCTATGGCCCTCCTTCTTCCCAGGCCCGGGACCCCACAATAGCAAGGCCATGGCGGTATCGCTGAGGTTTAGTAGAAAGATGACGACCTCAGAGGCCATGGACCAAGTGGCACAACGCACAGGAAGCCCGCCCGCTTCCCCTCACACTCACTCACACTTCAACTTCTGAGAGGACTGATCTGCAGACTTACTGACTAAGTCGTAGTCAACACGAAAGAAGGAAGTCACCACCTCTCCTTTCACAGCTGTGCAGGGACAGAAGGCAGAGAACAAGGCGCACGGGCAGCAAGGAACTTTCACAGGAAGGGACATGCACATTGAGCCAGGGACTTTGCAGGACAGGGTAGGGTTTTCCGCTGTCCTCAGACCCACATCCCCAGGGCGTTTGTAGTAGAAAAAAGGGACTTGAGAGCTTTCGTTTCTCTTTGTCCAATCTCATGCATTCATAAACGTTGGGAACAGACAGTCCCTTACTGGAGGATGTGTCTCAGAAAGACCTTTTGTGGAAGAAATGAATTATTTTCTTATCTTTATTTATAAATCGTTATTTATTTTTTATTTTTCCATACAGAGTGTGGTTCTGTTACTCAGGCTGGAGGGCAGTGGCAAGACCACACCTCAATGAAGCCTTCATTTTTGGGGCTCAAACAATCATCCCGATGTAGCCTCCCCAGTCCCTGCTACTACAGGTGCAGAAACCACACCTGGGTAATTGATTTAATTATTTTTTAGATAGGGGTCTCACTGTGTTGTCCATGCTGGTCTCAATTTCCTGGGCTCAAACGATCCTCCCACCTTGGGCAGTTTTATAAATGCTTCCAATAAATGTAATAGAATAAATTCTTCTGAAGACTAAATACACTCACACCTGTTTACTTTTTTCTTTTTAGGTTGTGTTCCTTCACATTTATATCTCTGGACTGGTAACTGATTTCTCTGAATGTACCTGTAGGTCATTCAGACAGTGTATGTTTCAGAAATAGCCAAAGATTCTGATTGTAGGCTCTCGGCTCAGTTGTGACCAGAAAACAAGTCCTGCCAGTCTCCTACCTCAAATATATGTTTGTGTGTTGACCTGTCCCTGGGACAAGCTTCCCATGCTGAGACTATGGTATCATAAAGTGGGATGCTTTCTTGAGGGGATAGAGTTACATCCATATTTTCAATCCGTGCATAAATAAATTAATTAATGGATGAAAAGATGTATGTGATAATGCGAAGCACAATAACAGGTATTTGATTAAATATGTCACCAAATTTTGCTTTAACAGATCTGATAGTAGTTATGTCAGTCTTTGTGGGTCCTGTAGTTTCTGTGGCGTATTGTGTTTTTTAGAAATAATACTTTCAAATGGAAAAAAAACCTCTTATCTCAATGGGTATACAAAACAAGTCATGGGCTGTATTTAGATCTCAAACCATTGTCAGCTAGCCCCTGGATTACGTTTTACTTCACATGTTTAAATGCTGTATTTTTGTACCAGAAGTCAAAATATTAACAAAGGAGAGTTCTACCACCAGGTAAGATTTAGAAAGCCTCAAGAGAAAGTCACTTTAGCCCTGAAAATGAGAAAAGGCCTAATAATCTATAATGTTATCTTTTGTTTTGCTTTGTTTTTAGGTCATGAGAGACTGGAGGTAACGAGGCAGCCATGGGAACTGATACAAAAGAGTGACTAGTCCCTCTGAGGAGGGATGAGACACCCAAACTACACCACCTCTGGCAGAGCATGTGTGGAAGAAGTGACAGTCATAACAGGGGGTAAGAAGAAAACCACTGAAAATGTAACAAATTCATAAAGTTCAAACACAGGCATTTGAGAGAGCTGGAATCCTGGGAAGTCTCAGACACCAGTGGAATTCACGTTCACAGACAGAAAGAGATCCTGTCTGAAAACACAGAGTCAGAGTCTATAAGACTGGATAAAAAGCAAGAACAAAAATAACAGATGCTGGTGAGTTTGTGTAGAAAAGGCAACACTTACACCCTGTTGGTTGGAGTATAAATTAGTTCAACCATTGTGGAAAGGAGTGTGGCAATTCCTCAGGGACTTAAGAACAGAAATACCATTTGGCCCTGCAGTCCCATTGCTGGGACGGTACCCAAAGGTACATAATTCCTTCTATTATAAAGACGCATGCACATCTATGGTCATTGCAGCACTACTTACGATAGCAAAGACATGGAATCAACCTAAATGCCCATCAATTATAGACTGCACTTTTAAAAATGTGGTATATATACACAATGGAGTACTATGCAGCCATAAAAAGTAGTGAGATCATGTCCTTTCCAGGAACACGGATGGAGCTGGAGACCATTATCCTTAGCAAACTAATGTAGGAACAGAAAACCCAATACCACATGAAGTCATTTATAAATGGGAGCTAATTGCTGAGAACACGTGAACACCCAGGGAGGGCCAACATGCTGGGACCTATCAGAGGGTAGAGGCTAGGAGGAGGGAGAGGATGAACAAAATAACGAATGGGCACTGGCCTTAATACCTGGGTGATGAAATAATCTGTACAACAAACCCCATGACATGAGGTTACCTATATTACAAAACTGCACATGCACTCCCTAGCCTAAACTAAAAGTTAAAAAAAAAACTCGCAAAAAATCATGAACTCTTCTGATCTTTCCACTTCAAAAATATCAGTTCATTTCTTTTTATAAAAAGAAGGAAAGAAGGAAGGGAATGAGGCATGAAGGGAGTGAGGAAAGAAGGGAGAAAATAAGGACAAACGGAGCGAGGGAGGGAGGGTGGAAAGAAGTAAGTGAGGGAGAAAGAGAGGGAGAGAGGAATGCAGCAAGGGAGGAAGGGAAGAAGGAAGGAAGGAAGGAAGGTAGGTAGGAAGGAAAGATGGAAAGAAAGAAAGAAGGAAAGAAGGAAAGGGAGAAAAATAGGGCTTGACAAATGTTTCTGTGCCTTGCCAAACAGCTCTTGATGGGAAGTCACTTTTAGAAACTTGATTGAAAAGTAACATAAATCAGAGGATTTTAATCATCTTCATTTACAGCCCTTCGGAAGTTATTCTGGCTGTTGTTTCTGAGCGATTCAAACCTGCCTTGGTCTCCACTATATCCATGTACTCTCCAGAAGGGCAACTCTTCCCTGGATTGAAAGCCCAACTGAGGACCAACACAAACTGGTTAGTTTAGGAAGAAAAAGAATAGAAAAGTGCAGGAGACAAATATTTCCTCTCCCATTTTTTTATATATATGTATACACACACACACACATATATATATATTTATATATACATTTACTTTTATATTTTATATATATATTATATATAATATATATATATATACACACACACACACACACACACACACACTTTTCCTCCTCAATCTACAGAGGGACATTTGAATCCCCAAATTTCAAAACTAAGACAGCTGTGTGAGATCATCCTATATAGTTGTTTTTCAAAGAATTTTTAGCAAAAGAACACTCTTGTGAGAGGAAATTTTATCCAAAAGACAACTGTAGAAAATAGGGGAATAAAATTATATTTTTCATATAGATATACCACTTAAATGTCAAGATATCTTTCTATGAAGGCTATCAAAGAGTTTGATTGAGGTTCTTTTGAAGAACCTAATAAAGTATTCTGTGGATTTCTGTGTAACATTTTAGTTGTATATTAACCTCTGCATCTAATTTTTTGGTGCTTTTATTGTTGTTGCACAGTTGCAATAGGATCTTGATTTTCACAGTATATTTATCAGTAATCTGTATCTTGAAAAAAAAGAGCCCCACTCTAAAAATAAATAAGTTACAAATAACGGATGGAAGAAGATATTTCCTGCAAATATGAATCACAGAAACTCGAAGCGTCAAATTAATACCTCACAAAGCACACTTTGTAGCAGGGATTATTATAAGGTTTGACAAATTGGGACATTACATAAAAATCATAGAGAGTTGCATTGATTCAGAACACAGAAACACCATGAATATGTTGGCACCTTTAAAATACTTGAGGGAAAACTGATACATTACAAAGTAGAAATAAACACATGTGCATTTAGTAGAAGACTTCAACATCACTCCGAGCATTTGGTAGAAAAAGTGTACAAAAAATCAGGATACATAAATGCAGAAGGCTTGAACAACACTGTCAAACCACATGGCCTAATTGATATTCATAGAGCAACAGCAGAATGCACATTCTTCTCAAGTGCTCGTGGAATGATCACCAATTCAGAGCTTAGCAGATGTTGACATGTGCTCTGCTTTCCTGGAAAGGTCACTCTCAC